CACTGGTCCAAATTTTTTGTCCAAAGTATGTTCTGTCTTCAGCAGTTGGGTCTTACCTTCAAGTTCTGTGAGACAATTAAGGGCTGTGGCAGTAGCCTGTATTCTTCTGGGGGGGGGGATCTCTTGAACCACCCTAACCAGCAACTCAAAGGAAGTTTTCTCCTGTCTGGCAGTGTTTCTTGTTATGTAGCCTTTAGCTATATACTTGGACTCATGTAGAAATATTGTATGTGTAAATTTTTTTTAGGTTGTTGTAATATGATTCCTTAGGTTGTTATAATATGATTCCCTCTGGTTTCTTAAAACCAGCTAGGCATTATTTATCTCTCCTCCCTCTCCCTGTCTAACCCTTCCACCTTGGCTTCCCAATGTAAAGTGTTCCCATTTTCCCCATTTCTCCCTTGATAATACCAGTCTTCTATGGTCCCACCTCTCTTGAGCTCCTTCTTTCCCTTTTTCCCTGAGGTTTCTTGTATAATCCTCTCTCCCCATTTCCCATTTCAATACCCCCATTTTTATCCATTTCTCCCTTAGTAACACCTGCCTCCTTCTGTTCGTCTCTCTCAGTTTCTTTCTTTCCCCTTACCTCCCTGGTTCCTTTTCATTATTTCAGTAATTCTTTATATTGGTTACCTATTGAAACTGTAATATTTTAGATATACAGATTAAGCATCTCTAACCCCAAATTCTAAAATCCAAATCTTTTTGATCACGCACATAATATACCACAGTGGAAAATTCCAAGCCTGACATCATCATATGATACATTGAAGTCAACATTCAGACATGCTAAAAGTATTGTATGAAATTACCTTCAAGTTAGTTGTCTGAGATATATATGAAACAATGAATTTTGTGTTTATGCTTGAGACTCATCCTGAAGATATCTCATTATGTAAGTATAGATATGTCGTAATTGAAAACCACTTCTGGCCTCAAGAATTTTGGATAATGAATTTGTGACCTGTAATAGGTTATATTTTTGTTTGAGTTTTTTCTTTTTATAGAAAGGAGAGTTTATTTGAGCTTAGGGTTCCAGGGGAATTACAGTCCGTCATGGCAGGGAGGCATGGTAGCTGGAGGTGGCTGGAGCAAGAGCAGCAGAAGCTAAGCTCTCACATCATCACGCAGGCACAGGAAGCAAGAGCAACTGGATATCTGGCAAGGCTTAAGAACTCTCTAAGCCCACTCCCAGTGACATGCTTCCTCCAGGATAGCCACACCTTCTAAAACCTCCCAAAACAGCGCCACCATCTGGGGACAAAATGTCCAAATACTTGGAGCCTATGGGGGACATTTTCATTCAAACCATCACATTCCACCTTCTGGTCCCCATAGGCTCATGACCATATAAAATGCAAAATGCAGTTAATCCAACTTTAAAAGTCCCCATAGTCATTATCAGTCTCAATACTATTCAAAAGTCAACAGTCCAAAGTCTCTTCTGAGACTCAGGTAAATATTTTAACTGTAAACCTCTATAAAATCAAAAGACAGATTACATACTCCCAACATACAGTGGGACCAAATACACATTACCATTCCAAAAGGGAGGAATAGAGGCATAGTAAGGAAATACCAGACCAAAACAAGACCAAAAACCAGCAGGGCAAACACCAAATCAGTAGCTCCATGAACAACTTCTGGAACTTTACTTCCAAAGGGCTTAGATGGCACAGCCTCTCTAGCTTTGCTGCGTGCAACACACGTCTCTCTCTTGGGCTGGTACCACTCCCTGTATGCAGGTGTTCTTGGCAAATGCCTCACAGCTCTGGCATCATGGATGTCTTCTTGGGGGTCTCCATTGCCAACCAGGCTTCACCTTCCCAGCTTCACTCACTGGCCTATCAGGGCCTTCTCTATGCAGGGGAACCCCTGCTGCACAGTGCCTGGCCTCTGAGGCTCTCTGAAACTGTGTCAGAAGAATTGATGACCCCTTCACTCTTGCATCTTTCATACCTCTAAAGCCAGCACCAGGTGAATGACATTGCCAAATTTCACTACAGGTTTGCAATGGACTCCAGCCTGCTTTATCCATTTTAGAAGCTTTTCTCTTCAGTGGCCCCTGCAGCATTTTCCTTTCATGAATTAGAGGCTTAACTGGTTGTAGTCTTGCCCTGGAGGCACTCTCTCTATTGTTTAAGTCCAAATCTCTAGGCCTCTCCTTAATTACTTTAATCTCCTTATCAAAGGGATCCTCTCCAGCACAGGCCAAGGCTCCAACATTTATCTTCCTCGTTTTCAATCCAAACTGTATTTCTTTCTGCCCCATTTGCTCTTTTTCACTATAGAGCTGCATAATATTCACCATTAATATCCACACCACCATTTCTATATTAGGCTGTCTTGAAATTTCTTCCACAAGAAAAATTAGGCAATTGCTTTTCAACTTAGCCTCAGGCAAGCTTTTAGGTCAAGGGCAGACTCCAGCCATACTGTTTGCCAAAATATCCCAAGGGCTGCAAAAGTCCTTATTTCCCTCTGGAACTACATTGTTCTCAGCACTGCTTTCTTCCAGGCATTTACTAGAGTGGCCTGTTAAGCTCTGCTTACAGCAATCAACCACTTTTCTAGCCCAAACTTCCAAAGTCTTCCTCATTCCTCTAAAACCCCACATGGTCAGGTTCTTCACGGTCAACAGCCCACTCTCTAGTACCAATTACTGTATTAGTCACTTTCCTGTTGCTATGCTAGAAACACTGACCAAAGCAATTTATAGAAGGAAGAGTTTATTTGAGCTCACGGTTCCAGGGGAATTACAGTCCATCTCGGCAGGGAGGCATGGTGGCTAGAGGTGGCTGGAGCAGGAGCAGCAGAAGCTAAGCTCTCACATCATCACGCAGGCATAGAAGCAAGCTTGTTTAGTTTTTTGAGACACAGGGTCTTCCCTGTGGCCTCATCTGGCCTGGAACTCACTGTGTAAACCAGGCTGACCTGGAACTCACAGAGATCTACCTGCCTCTGCCTCATGAGTGCTGGGATTAAAGGTGTGGGCCACCATGCCCAGCTCTAGTTTTACTTTTTCAATGTGGTTTTCTTTATATTTGTTTTAGAGAATATTGGTTTTATGGTTGTCTTATGTCTTTGCTTTTAAGGTAGGGAATTTAGTAACCACATATAAATTCTAATTCAGTTTTCTTTTGTTCAAATTAGATTACAACATCGTCTCAATTCCTGATTTACTCCTTTGTGTTTCTCATTCAACAACATTCATGTAGTTCCTATTTTAGCACATAGCCCTGCTAACCCTGAAATCCAAATAAATTAAGAAATAAACTCAAGAATACATAGCAAATGCATACCCAAAGCTAAAAATTAAAGGGAGCCGGGCGTGGTGGCGCATGCCTTTAATCCCAGCACTTGGGAGGCAGAGGCAGGCGGTTCTCTGTGAGTTCAAGGCCAGCCTGGTCTACATAGTAAGTTCCAGGAGAGCTGGGGTACGAGAGACCCTGTCTCAAAGACTAAAGAAAAGATGTCACCATCTGAAAAGGTAGAAAAAATGGGTTTCAGGCAGAGGGAAAAGCTTTTTAAAAATATATTTATTGGACTGGCAAGACAGCTTAGGCATAAAAGGCATTTGCCACTAAGTCACACCCTGAGTTCAATCCTTGTAACTCATGTGGTGGAGGGAGAAAACCAGTTCTCACAAGTTCTCCTCTGACTTAACACACACAAAAACATTTATTAAAGCAAAATTGATGGACTTCATAGTAAATTCTGTGTGTGTGTGTGTGTGTGTGTTTGCAGAAGCCAGAAAAGGGTGTCAGGTCCCTTGGAACTGGAGGTACTGGTGTTTATGGGATGCCTGGCTTGTTATGTGGGTACTAGGATCTGAACTCTGATCTTCATGATTTCACAGCAGACTCTCTTAACCACTGAGCCATCTCAGAAAAATTCAGCCCCCAGAAAAAATTGTTATATTTGGCTTTTATCTTCTCATTTAAGATATATAATTTTATGTGTTACATGGATGTTACTTTGATCTGCCTAGTTCCATTTCAGAATCATACCCTCTTGAAGTTAGAATCACTAAGGCTATCTAGTTGATTGCTAGCAGATGTTTCTCATCTCAAGATCCTGTCTTAATTAGTCACCTAGTGGTCAAAACAAAAAAACAAACCCCTCATAATCCATCTTGGAAGCTCTGTCCCTTGTAGTTTTTTCTTCTGTTATTTCCATTTTCTTGGGTTAATCTCTCTTCCTTCTGTATATGAATACTAGGTGCAGAAGAAAAGGAATCTTGTTTCTCTCCTACCTCTCAGTAACCTTACCTAACTGGCTCTTTATTCTATGGTTGTTTTAAAGCATACCCTTAAGAGCAGTGGTGTATTTTATATCTCATAAAAGACAAATTTGAGTGTGAAATATTTAATAATGAAATAGTCTTCAAAATTCTTTTGACCTGAAATTGTCTTCATTCATTTTCCACTTAAAATTTTTTAGTATTTACTAAGTTAATGTGTTCTAATTGATAAAAATAAAATCCTGAAGGGTATACTAAATTAAAACTAAAAATTGCCTCATATATGCAAAAAGTCTAAGTGTAAGTAATCCTCTGATGGTAACAAGTTACTAAATATGAACTTTAAACTAAAACAACAATATTTCTTTTTAGTTTAAACCAAAGGTATGACTATAACATAGTTACAGTGTAAAGAGTGGCAGGCTGACTTCAGTATAGATAACTACTTAAACTAGTCATTCTCAAATAGGAATTGAGGAGCCCTGCACATATTTTAAACAGTTACTTTCAGATATTGTCATTGAAAAGTTACAGTTCAAACATTTTCTATAATAAGAACATGGATTGATCTAATATTAGAAGCAAAAATCTTAAGTTTAACAAATTTATGAAAGTGTTAGCATATGACTATCCTTTATGGCCATATTGTCTATAGTTTTGCATGTATGTCTCCTCAGACTCTTGGTGAAACATATTTCTTTGAGTATGCATGCCTCAAAATACTTCTTTTAATTACAATCTTTATTTCCTTTCATAGACACAGAATCTTACCCTTATCAGTGTGGAGCTACATGCTCGAACTAGACGAGATTTACAACCAGATCCTGAATTTGACCCAATCTGTGCTCTGTTCTACTGCATCTCATCTGATACTCCGCTCCCAGATACAGAAAAAACAGAACTCACAGGTGTAATAGTGATTGATAAAGATAAAACAGTCACTGATCAAGGTATTGTTTGTTTTTATTATATACTTACTCATTCTAGGATGAATCTTTTTGGTGACAAGAGTATTATGTAGCCCATGTTAAACTTGGACTTGCTTTGTAACTGAGGCTGGCCTTGAACATCTGGATCCTCCAACCTCTACTTTCCAAGTGCTATTGATTATAGGCATGTGCCACCGCATGTGGCTTAGAGTGAATCTTTTAACAGAATTTCTGTATTGGAAAATCAATCCAAAAACTCTGAAGCTATATAATGTAAAGACCTTAATAAAATTGGTAATTAATATATAACTCATAAAATACTAATTGTTCGCCGGGCATGGTGGTGCACGCCTTTAATCCCAGCGCTTGGGAGGCAGAGGCAGGTGATCTCTGAGTTTGAGGCCAGCCTGGTCTACATAGCAAGCTCCAGGCCAGCTAGGACTACAGGGAGACCCTGTCTCAAAAACACCAAGGGAAAAAAAAATTGTTCATGTAAAATCCAAATAATCATTGGAGTTTTTTAGCTTGGGTAGACAGTCTTTGTATGTAAAAATATTTTACTGCTAATATAGAATGACTGTTGCGTTAGAACACTAAGTTACTACTGTAAGTTAATGGTTTATGAGATACATAAGATGTTTTCTGTCTATCCTTCTAAATAAATATATTTTTGGTTCAGAGGCTATTTACTGTTATAAGCATTTTAGGAAATACAAGTATTTCTCTACAATTTTGAATGGTAACCATTACAAATGAATTGAGTTCGCTGAGGAGAAAGATTTAATATAGAACAAAGCCATTAAGAATTTGATGTTTAGGGGCTGGAAAAATGGCCCAGTTAAGAGTACTGGCTGCTCTTGCAGAAGACTCAGGTTCAGTTACTAGCACCCACATGGCGGCTACAAACCTCTGTGACTCCAGTTCCAGGGGGAGCCAACTCCCTCTTTCTGATGTCTGCAGGTATTACGTACACATAGTACATGTACACACATGTAGGCAAAACACTCATACACATAAATAAATTTTTAAAGAATTTTGTATTTAATCAGTAGCATACTTCAGTCAGCTGATACCAGCAAAAAAACCATTTTCATTAATTTTTCAAGATAGAGTTTTGGTAGTTTGAAAGTAACCACGACTTTAAATAATAAAGTGGGAAGACTTTATATAATAGAAATAGGTAAGCACTGACACATCAAGATTCTTTTTTCTTGGAGAGGTAGTCATTAAACATTTTCTAGAATACTAGTACTAGTGCTCTACTTAGCAAAACCATTCCTATTAGGAAGACCAAACAGAAACAAAGAAATAAACTTTCTTTGTAAGTGATATGTTATAGTATATGTGGAATTTTATAAATGAAGACTTTTTAAGGGAATAACTGAAAATCTAAAATTTTAATTTTATGTTACATTAGGAAAACCATTTAAGTGTTTTACTTGGGGAGGGGGTAGACAGTCATTATATTCTTTTACTGAAAAATAAAGGCTAATATTTTTATATACTGTAAAATTATATAATGTTATTGTATGATATAATGTTATATATAATAAACATTTTATTTCTTAGATATCAGATATCAGACCCCATTACTTATCAGATCTGGAATTACAGGATTAGAAGTTACCTATGCTGCTGATGAGAAGGCACTCTTTCAAGAAATTACAAGTATAATAAAGAGGTATTAGCTTATATTTTCTGCTTTTCCAGTCTTTCTTATTTAGTCATTTCTTACTGCTGCAAATAGCGTAGGTAAAGGTATAAAAGAGGAAGGAGAATCCTTTCTTATGATCCTTAAAAGTAGATAATTACCCCTGGAAAGAAGTCATTTGTATCCTGTCTCCCATCACCATTCCCATTCTCAGATAAGAGACAGGAAAAAAAAATATTCTATTTACAAGAATTAGGGGCCAGAGAAACAAAAATATTTGCCTCTAGCTCCCCAGTTAAATTTTAAGATGATTTTTCTATGATGTTTAAATAATGGGTATTTGTGAGACTAGAGAGTTGTCACAGTGGTTAAGAACACTGCGCTTTCAGAGGACCTGGGTTTGAGGCCCAGCACCCACATGGTGGCTAACAGTTGTTCATAACTCCAGCTCCAGGGGACCCAGTACCACCCTCTGACCTCAGGCATTGCACGACATGGGTGCAGGCAATACACTCATACACACAAAATAAGAATAATAAGTAAAATATTTTTAAAAAATAAATTACAGGTATTTGTACAAAAGTTCAGTTGTGTTGCTCACTTAAATAAGTTGGACCTTGGAACTACCATTTCAGTAGTGTTTTGAATTGATTTCCTTTGTTTTTTGACTTTGGTAATCTTGGCTGATAGTAAACTCTTGTCAGAGTTATGAAGAGTTTATTTCAAACAAAACCATTTTAATTTTAACATATGAAATTGAGGAGCTAGGGATTTGTCTCAGTAGGTAGAGATACATAATGCCAAGCCTGACAGCCTTTGCTCAATCCTTGGGACTTAAATGATAGAAGGAGTGGAGCTGGAGAGTGGCCTGCACTGGCTGTTCTTGCAGAAGACCCAGGTACAAATCCCAGCACCCACATGGTGGCTAACAACCCTTTGAAACTCCAGTTCCAGGGGATCTGATGCCCTCTTCTGTCCTCCACAGGCACTGCATGACATGGGTGTACTTACACACATGCAGGCAAGAGTCCATATGTATTGCTAAGGGCTACATAACAAGAAACAATGCCAGACAGGAGGTACCTTCCTTTGAGTTATTGGCCAGGGTGGCCCAAAAGACTCCCAGACAGTAACCCAGCATAGAACTGGGAAAATGAACAGCAGACCCCAATCTTATCTAAAGGAATATTGACAACTGATTGCTGCCAGATGAGGAACAGCTGATCTTCCTAAAACATGGCTCTTTAGATAGGATGACTAGATTCAGCAGACGGACAAGCACTGGGGAATGGCTGGGGGCAGCAACAACACAGTGGACAGTAACAGGGATGACAGAGTTATATGGGCTCCAGTACGGCAGGGGAGAGGGGTGGCTATGCCAGAGGGTGCCATTTGGGAAGTGGGTATATAGATGAATAAGATTATTTGGGATGTTCTGTATGATATACACCAAAAAAAAAATCAACAATTTTTTTTAAAAAGACTTAGGAAGCATAAAAATTTACTTCATATTAATTAATAGAGGTGATAAACATTACCATTGAAATCTACCTGATTTATATCCATACTCAAGTTCCACGGATCCAAGTGTAACTGACTGTGACTAGTAATAATCAGATATATAGGGATTAAAGATACATGTGCAAACATCTAAGCATTAGTAACATTAAAAATATAGGTAACAGTGGGGCGTGGTGGCGCACGCCTTTAATCCCTCCAGAGGCAGAGGCAGGTGGATCTCTTGTGAATTCAAGGCCAGCCTGGTCTACATAGTGAGTTCCAGGACAGCTGTGGCTACAGGAAGCTACAGGAAGACCCTGTCT